GTGGATTGATGAAGCTAAACAAAATTGTACGCTCTTTCGAACTACTCCAACTCTTTTCATATTTGTATTGTTCTTCAGTGATTCTTTAAACGATATATAACCGACATATCCAACTGAGTGTGACTTGTGTGGAACCAGTGTCCTTTCAGAGTTTTGAAGAAGAAGAAAAGTTGTCTGGCTTCCTCTCAACGATACTTCTCATATAACATACAAATCCAGGTCTTTCAATCTAGTAACGAAGGTAAAATATAGATACTCGATTAGTTATAAAAACATTTAACAAGAACACACTACATACCGTGCATGCATCATACATTGTGACTCATTCTCTTGTTTTCCTGCAAGCTGAAATCATGAGATTTATGTGGCGCATATCACAGTCTAGAATCCTAGGCATTTTGGTGTGTCTCTTCAGTACAACTTGATGATGATCATCAAGATCGAATATCTGCAGAATATATATATAATTATTTAATCATCCAATATTTTTCATCGTAATGCAGATGGAAATGATAACTTACTTGTAAAAAGAAGTGACAACCATACAAATATATGACATGACTATTTGATTGAATCTGTTGTTGTGCCTTTGAAATAGCATCACGTAGGTAATTCATTGCATAATCACAGTAGTTATATTGTAATATGTAATCAGTCCTACATAGAGCGCCCAGTAATCAATACTGGTGGGGTTATGTTTAGAAAAAGGTGTTCCTAAATGACCCATAATAAATATAACATGTGTTGTCTTAAAGCATCAATTTCTAGCTTCACTTGATAACTCAGTTATATCTCTGGATAAAAAGAATTGTGTTGCCTTTAAGTTGTGTAAATCATTTCCAATCATATCCATATTTTGCTTCAAGAAATCAATTGAAGCAGCAATTGTGTGACCATCAAGACCATTAATATCTCTAGATCCACAAGGCAATCCAAAACTTTGTGCATGTCTCCGACATAGAATTTCAATTTCCTATCCTCGGATATCATAATACGTTGATCCTTGACATCTGTTGCAATTACAAAATATGTACTAAATTTGAGGTTAACATTTTTAATTGAAGGCAAGCTCAAGAACCCATCAAATTTGATTTCCCAGAGCATGAACTTCTTGTATTCGGTAAAGGGCCATTTACATTTCAGCCCCTAACTCGAACCACCTACTCACATTTACCCCTAATTCTGAAGTGTGCTCAAATTTGCCCCTCTTCCGTTAAGTGCGGTTATAGAAATGCCCTTTCATACATTTTCCGTCCGGTCAAAGGCCTTTATAATCGCACTTAACGGAAGAGGGGCAAATTTGAGCACACTTTGTAATTATGGGCAATTTTGAGTAGTGGGTTCCAATTAAGGCACAAATGTAATTGTCCCTTCTGTAAATCCACAAAACAACACGAATATGGCCTACCTTCAATCTAGATTCAGAGTTACACTCTTCATCATCATTTTCTCTGTTGAGTCATCTCCCTCGGTGTAACAATACCTTAAGTCTCTATTACCTTTCGATGAGCCACTTGCTGAATAACTTGATTTAGACGACACATTTTATCACTACATAATTAAACAAACCAATATACCATTAACATTACAAAATCAGAGCATATAACATCAATAAATAATTTATCCCAACACATAATTCAATAACATCTGTTATTCCAATGAACTCACTGTCAACATAAAAAGGAGTAAGCCAAAAATCAAAATGTACATTACAAAACTAAATCATATAAAACTATTATTTACCGATCCAAGAAACATAACAAATTCATTCATGCCATAGTACATTGTAGAAGTATTATTTACCGATCCAAGAAACAGAAACATAGCAACTTACATAACATTTTACATATGCATCTGAGTAGATCTATCTTTATTTTTTATATAATAATCCATATTCGAGACTGCCATTGTAGAAGTATTTAGTAATTGTGTGATGCGAATTAGTCTAATGGTAAAAGGCAGTACATGTGCTTTAAGTTTCACTTTCCTTAACTAACATAATGACTTAAGTTCCACTGTCCGTAACTGACATACTTCCCAAGTTTCTAACTTCTATTTTTCGGCTACTTAGAATGAACTCCTAGATTCGTCAATGGAAGACAACCATGATTATATGTGCTTATCTAAGATCAAGCCCGGAATTTCTTCTTACAAACAAGATAGGCTAAGCCACAGATCTGAATTCTTGAAACGCCACAAACTAGTAGAACTGATAAAAGGACAAAAGAACAATTAAGCAACAACTATACACACAACTTTTCCTAACAAAGACATTCGTAGAATATCCAAGATATAGCATAGACCCTACACAATTTGTCTTGCATTGTCAATCAGTCATTGCCGACTCTGAGCGATTCGCAAAGGAACAATGTAGATCTCTTCTCGTCTACAACAACGCTGCTAGAACACAAGGGTTCTAAGAGAAGAAACATAGTGTGGTTGAAGAACGGACGAAAAAAAAGATAAGAACACATTGAACACATTCATGAATGATATAGCCTTTTAGTGGTGTTGTTCTCGTGCATCTGAGGTTGGTAATGGTTGCTCAAGACCCTCTCATGGTCGCCGTTGTGTTGCGGTGAGCTTCATGTTCTTGGTGTTGTCTCGTCTCATCTTTGCTCAAGGTTGGCGCAATATGCCTTTCAAACTTGCTAATCGTTCCGATTTCCTGTGGCAGAGCCCCATCAAGGTTCGTGTCTGGGATGACACTTGTTGATTGTGGATGCTCCTGAGTTGTGCCATGGGGGCTGGTATGCTCGCCAATGCGTTCGGCTGTTTGCAAAATCTTGGTATTGTGATCTTCTGACGACACCCCACATCTACTTGTGTCTCTCGTGGTGATGGTCTTATGTCTACTAGCTTGGTCGTGCCTTGTACGGTTTTCAGCCTGGTTTTCCTTATAAACGGGTCAATTTGTTCAGGTTTTCGATCCGGTTTTCCTTATAAACTGGGTCACTCCTCTGGCATTTTGGCCACTTTGAGTAACAAATTTAGGTGGAGGAACTACTCCTCCGGTGATTCTAAAAAAAACTAAAAAAAGACGGGGATGCTAATACCAAACTCTTTCATCTGATCGCGAATGGGAGGAAAGCCAATAATTTCATACCGGCATTACATGTGGACGGTCAGGTGGTCACAGATCAAAAGGGGAAGGA